CAAAACACTTGCCCCCACCCCAATTTATAGTCAGAAGTACACAAATGCATGCTGGGATTTTTTCCTAGCTAATAAAATAGACCTGGTCCAACCAATCAAACCGCCTGCACGCAACAAATCTGTTTTCCCGCTCAATATGCTCGGAGCCTCCCACGTGATACACTATATTATAAAAACAAAACACATGTAAACTCTCTCTCTCTCTCTCTCTTTCTCGCATCTCATTCCTTGCTGCCAAGATGTAATCTTCAAGAACTCCTGTCTTAACTAATGCAGTCAGACGTTAAAGACCATTATCAACATTCACGCAAGTACGAACTCTGAAATCTCTTCTGAACTTTTACCAACTTGTACAATACACAGAATTCCAAACATGCAAAAGAAACTTTATTCTTCTAAACTACAGTTTAATAATTACTTTCACTTTATGAACTTAGGTACAAATATTACCTAATCTAAGAGACAAAACTCTGTCTAACCTTTTCACTCAGCATTTATGCATGTATATCAAATATTAATAAATTCAATTGTTACGTTTTGAAACAAGTTCTTTATGAATCTTTATTCTCTATCTTGTATTAATTGTTGTGGATGGAAGATTTTTGAACACACACAATTTTAAGCCTTCTGATAATTCAAACCTTCTATTCCTCTCCAACACACATCACACATCCGCAACATGTCCAACATCTCTCTGTCATATGGCTTGTAATATTATGGAGTAAATTTATCCCTTTTATCCCATGTACCATAAAACAATTCTAAACTAAAAAATATACACCACAATACACACAAAAAATATAAATAAACTGAATGAAAGTAACATAAAATTTACCATGCTTTTCCTGTTATTTGTGTACGTTTTATTTCCTGTCAAGTATGCTTTTATCTCCGTGAACACAAAGCTAATTTCTGTTGCTATGATGTAAGTGAACCTCCACATTTTAGTGACCGCTGGCGTGTATAAGTAAAACAGCCACAGGCTACAAAAGTCAGGAAATTGTGGAGAGCCATGTTCGTCCACGTTCTGTAGAGACACGGCACGTGGAAGAAGAAGGTTCACATTTTTCCATTCTGAAAAGAATGTCATCTACCACAGGTGTTCATCTAGTACAAACACAACAAAGGCGGTTTTCCACAGTTCTTCTACAATAAAACAAGTCTTGAATAACATTTCAGACAACAATGATCAGAAGGCAGGGTGTTGTCAATAAATAAATGGACTACTTTCTACCATGAAGTTGAAAACAGAAACAATGTTTATATTGTGGGTTTTGTGGGAATAAAATAAAAATACAAATAAAATAAAAATACAAAATTAAATAAAAGTACAAAATAACATAAACATAAAAATCTCCCAGGAGTCCTCTGACTGGAAAGACAATTTACGCATGTGCTAAAAAAGAGAGATTTCCTGGCGCCAAAAATAAACTAGAAGAATCTATCTCTTTCTCTGTTAGACCTTTGACTGGTGAATCAAAAAGAAAGAAATAAAATCAGTGTCCTAAACTGTCCCTCTAGTGTCTCCGTATCTTTCCGTCTTTTCTTTGTCTATTTATTTCAGCGACGAAGGCAATTCAACAAGTTTTTGGATGTTTAGGTGAAAGAATCAACCCAGCACTAATAGCCATAACACCCATAGTTCACGTATTACACCATTTTTAAATGTCCCATGCTTGTTTGTCATCTTATTGTCAAGATTTGAATATGGTGTGGGCATTCTAGGAATCATTTACATGGATATATTCAAGCAATATAATTTACTTTTTCATACATTGCGCAAAAAGACGTGGATCTGACTGAATATGAAAGTGGTCAACTACAAACATGGAGACAGCAGAAACAAATTCGTGAATATGATGATTTCAGTGGTTTAAGCATTCTGAAGCCTTGTTAAATTTCAAAAGCCTTCTAAAATGTTGGAAAACCGAAAATTTCATTGCCAATTAGCGTAATTTTTATGTCTCCTTTCCAAATGATCTCACAGAGTGTTGTGTAGGAACCTACCACCCCTCTTGAAGATGAACTCGTCTACAAACAAGGACGTTAGATAGTGGCATGTCAAAAGACAGTGTCGGAGAAGTTCTGGGCTGAGTTAGTTATAGACTACTCAGGCGATATCTGTACCAACTTACCAACCGAATAAACCCCATTTTATTGTTACATGTTATTTGGCGTTTGTTTTTATTAACCCCAAATTAACATCATAACACAGAGGAATAATTACATAGGAACGAGGTGGAGGGTCACGAACCAGTCCCACTTCCGAGAAGCACTCAACAAAAGAAACCCGCTCCAAGCAGTCGGATCTATGATCAGGTGGTCGGGGAACATGCCTCAGTACAGACACAAAAGAGGCCTCAGATTGCATGCGGACATTTTTGTCAACACCTATTACATCCGGGGTTTTCCCGTTAGCAGCAGCACAGCTCGGCATGTCTAAATATGGGCTTCTCTGCAAGTGGTCATGATTCGAATCTTTGTAAAGTACCTCATGCCAATAAAAACACGGGAAAAACCAGTAGTCGGAATTTGGCAAGACACGGTGTCTTGGGAAATCGGTCCCGTAGGTATTTTTGTTCCTCAACTTGCTATGGTTTCCTAGGAAATGTTATTTTTGTTACCTCCCATCTTCTTTGTCCCTCTGCCTACTACCTCCGCAGTTGCTGGAAAAGCAATAGGTTAGGTGTTTCCCCCAACACTTGCCGTACATTACAACGGGAATTTAAAATAAGTTTGAGTATACGAGCATAAAATACATTATATTTTAATTACATCAATATTTTCTTAAAATAAAAACGTTAGAAGGCTTCAGTTCTAGACTGGTAAAAAGGGGTGTAATACTTGTCTTTTCCCGAGCCCCGACGACCTACGCTACACAACTGGTCGCAGGTGTCCGAGCTCTGGTTTTTAAAATCGTAACGGAAATTTTTCACTCTGAACACTGGAAATTAAAAACTAATTAGAAAAACAATTTCTGGCTTAGAACAGGATATATAAAATCACTTCAACATTAATTTAAATAAATATTGTTTTTCATCCAATGAAATGTTTGAAAAAGAAATTAAACTATTAGCGCACACTTTTATAGAAGCTGATCTGATAAGAACACTTAAAGAACATTTTTTTAGCCATATTGCTTAGCTGTTATGTCGCTTTGCCCGAACCAAAAGCTTTCTTCTTACCACCATAGAAACGAAAAAACTGTCATCAAAAGAAACCGCGTTAAATCATAGCTATTAACAGTAAAAAAGAATATTTTCAATTCGACTTTATTGTACACTCCTTCCTTTCTTATCTTTAAATAAAATCAAACTACTTTGAAGTGTATCTGATTTCAGGAACTTTAAGCTTACAAGTCGAATTAATACAAAAATATATTTTCATCCTGACACACAAAAGAAAGGAATATTTACATATAATAAGATAGTAACTCTGGTTCGACGGCTTAATGCATGAGAATACCGAATGACGATTTGAATCAATCAGGAGATAATAAAGATTAATCAGTGAAGAAAACCAGGGAAACTGGGTGTCGAAGACAATAAGGAAAGAAAGAACAGATAAATAATAATAATTATAAGCCGTAAAATGGGTTCGGGGAAGGCTCTAGGAAGTTTAGAATCTAAAATAAACTGTTGCATCCTTAAAGAAGGTTACAAACAAAGGTGATACTTGTGTAAAAGGTACAGCAACACGGGCGTAGATAAAAGAAACAGAGGTTTTACTGTAAAAGAGAATACACTACTGAAAGACAGGAGATCGGTTAACAGGCTAATAATTCCCGAAGCAAGGATATCTACCAACTGCACCACGCGGTCAGATGTGGCACAAGGCCGAATTTAATGTGGGGTATTCGAGCCCGTAGGCTCGGCCAAAAATTCCTCGTAGAGCCCGTATAAAACGGGGTCGGGTAACTGTTTCTCGAGACGAGACTCTGTCCTTTGACATAGCCTCGTCTGGGGGTCCTCTCTGCCCAGAGTCAGAGAGTTTGACTAGCACAGATAGAGACGAATCTCCAACTCTAGACTAATTCCTGAAGCAAGGATATCTACCCATCGCCTCAATCGATCAGATGTGACACAAGGCCGAATTTAATGTGGGGTATCCGAGCAATATGTCAAGGATGTATGGTCTGAAATTTCCCAATTTTTCAAGTAGAATTCTTGCTATGTTTATACAGAGTACTATTAGTCCTCAGATGCTTATGTTGTTAACAATATTCACACCAGAAGTTAGACTCGACCGCATTCCTAAAATGACAACCTGTTACTGAGTAAAAGGAGGTCATTAATATCTTATCAGAAAAACGTACAATAAATCAATGTCAGAGGTGTACAAACTTCCTTATATAAACGAAGCAGGCGAGAAACACACCGACAAAAGGGCCAGAGAGAGAGATGAAAGCAAGATGATAGCTGAGGTCTGTTCATAAACTGTTTCCACTCTTTCGCTGTTACTGCTTCTGCCACTAACAAACCCACAGACACAAGCCCAAGTAGACAATAATACAGTGCTAGGAGTAAGATCTCTTAATTTACTGCGAATTACTGCTAGAATAATATTCCTGCTGAAAAATCATCACCCAGGCTACATAGAAAGATTAATAATTCATTACGCCTTATATACTTTTGAATTTTCAATTTGTTTTCATTAAATCTGTTGTTAGTTATCAAGTGAGCTGGGCGAGGTTCTACTTTGTAACGGACGGAATTGCTATTTTTCTAAAGAAATTAATTCAACACGTGAAAGATTTTCATATATACACCTTTATATAATGAACAACAATTCTGACAAAAAAAAAAGAATTTGATTGATTTGTTTTTTATGGTTTAACAACCAGGTTATTTAAAGCCAGAAAATATTTTTAGATTGCAAAATTTTTTTTGAGATAATAATGATTTGCTGATATAAGTCCTACTGATTAACCCACAGCTGGGAGAGAAGAGGTGATTCACACTTTATCATACGTTATCCATTGCACCACCATCATATACAAGCTTACAGCACCTGGTATTCTCAAGCGGTCACTCATCTAAATACTGATCAGGTTTGATGTGGCTTAACTGCAGTAATCGTACGAGAACCGGTGTTTCAATGTGATATGGCCGCAAGCCACAAAAAAGAGAAAGAAAAATTATAGTAAAGTGTATAGATAGCTTAAAAAAAAAAAAAAAAAACATTTATTTGCTTAGCTATAGTGTAAAGGGGAGTGTAATGTACCACGTGGTTTGTTTGAAATTAAGTACTCTGTTACCGGAGGAAAGAAATCCACTCCGGCAGAGAAAGTCTCGATGTTGTCGCTACTACATCTCGGAGTAAGAAAATGAGAGGGAGGAGGTTAAGTTCCTTCCTTTTATAGTCCTGAATAGACAGACACCTGGCGGGAATCCTGGTACACAAAGTGGGATAACTCCATAGTTACATTATTTGGCTGTAATTTTTCGCGCTAGCTCGACCAGATGATCATCTGGATGTATACCAAATGTACAATTTTAATGTCTTTAGGATGCGAGTAAAAAGTTAACGTGAATATTTATGAAAATTTATTTTTTTTATTTAGGAGCCTCTACTTCTAACATATTCTGTGGACCCATACTTCGACCCTGGGTTGCTTAGTATTTTTCCCTTTCGAATTCTGAGATTTAGTGATACCAAATTTTAAATTAATATTTTTTTAAGTAAGGAAAATACTTTAAATAATGTTATTGCTTTTCGTACGTTATTTTTCGTTTTATTTTCAATGCTTTAATTTTCATATGGAAAATAGTGTTCATAATTATATCTCGTTCTATAAATATACGCCCTATATAAGGACAGGTTCATCACCAGGGTATTTTCAGTTGGAAGAGGGCGTCCTTTAAATCAGGGGCCCGTGAGTAAGAATTTGCATACTACATTCATATCTTTCACAGAGGAAACAAATGATTTGGTTGTGGGGGGATAGACATCCAACCGCAGCCCTCACACGGCGACTGGTCTGTGTCAGGGTAATAAAACAAGTATTTGGTATGTAAAAATCGGTTGAATCGCTAAACCGTCAACACCCAAAACTGATGGAGGATTTTATTTATGAATCTTAATTTCACCACGAGTTTAATATCCAGTGTCGGAGTTAACTCCTCCTCCAGTCCGTTAACCCTTTCACCAGGGGTCTCTCTTCTCTGGCTATAAATAGCCGCTGACCCTTCGCCTCTATCTCTTTTTCCTTCAGGCCTGTGCACCGACACCTTGAGATAAATCGCTCTTTTTCCTTCAGGATTTCAGCTATCAACCTCGAAATGTAGGCGCTAACAAAGGAATAGCGTGGAAACACGCTAAGCACAATACACACGCACGCACATACAGAATATTCACACACACTTCGTCCTTTGTACTGTTTCCATGTATTGTAACTTGTTATTAATATATATTTGTATATACATATATTATCGGTCTTGTGTTTTGTTTGCTTTCTTTGCCTTCTTCTTTGGACTTAATCAAAGTCCAACTTTTTTATGCTCGGCGGGCAGGAGTATCTGAACCTTACATGCGTTTCTTCTACGTCTGACTTCTATCAACAACATAACAGCCACGGCCACTCTACACCAGTCTCCTCTATAAATTATATTATTATATGTTTTTATATGTTATTATGTTATAATATATTTTTTAAAAAATGACACTTTTCATACTAATTTCTATATCTAAATAAAATAATTTCGATATTGTTGGTTGTAACTTCCGAAATGAGTTCCACGTTCGAAATACTGAATTATTCTCTGGTGTAGAGGACCGTGTGGGTTTGAGTGTTGTTGAATTAAGGATACGTGCTGTTTATTCCTGCTAGAAGGTCCAACTAAAGAAAATGGCGGACTCAAATTGAGTCCAATCGAAGATGTAAAGTAAACAAACAAGACCGATATATATATATATATATATATATATATATATATATATATATATATGTCAACAAATATATGTATTAAACAACAAATTTACAAGTGACAAAGTCATCAACATTTGCGTTTGTGTGTGGACGTAAAGAGTTTGTATTTTGGTGAATGTTCGTACGTACGTGTATGTGTGTTTCATGGCGTTTTCCCACAAGTGGGCGAAAACGCTGATCTCTACGAGAAATCACATTCTTAAATGTGTCCGCTGAAGTAGAAAAGAGAACGAAGCAAGAAGTCGCCCAGTATTTATAGTGTAGGGAGAGCGACCCCTAGTGAACAATTAGGGAATTAAGGAGGAGCTAACTCCGACAAAGGAATGCACATAAAGGGGGATGCTCCTAGATGTCATCTTGTTTTTTAATCAATTCACTCCAAGCAAGGCGATAATGCCACTAAGAAGCATGAGGCTATTGTGAGTGAATGTGAAATCTTTAGACGGAACCGGAAATCCAATCCTAAACAGGGAACAACTACTCCTGTTCAAAAGACCGGGGAGAAGTGTGAACCAGGCGATAGGATAACCTATCCACTATTATTGAAGAATAGAAAAAAATTAAATAAATAATTAGTGAATAAAATTTCAGCGTTCAGTCGGAAATTTTAGAAGTATAGAATTGAAGTAGACTTTGGAATAGTGTTTCCCAACCGATTTTGGGCCGATCCCCACGTTGGTATTTCTAAAATTCTGGTGCCCCCCCCTTGTAATATTTAATTCTTACATATATGTCAGTTACACATGTACGTACATACAAAATATTTTTTATGTATGCATACAGTATGCATTGTATAACAGTCTCACTCCGACTTACTAGAATACAATTCACTGTTAATAACTCATTTTCGAATTGGGCCCAAATTATTACCATGCACCACCGGCCCACGTTGAGAATCATTGCTTCAGAAGGAGCCGGAAACCAAATCCTAAGCGAAAAAAAAAGGGGTAAGTCTCTCAACTCCTGTTCAAACGAACAAAGACATTTTTCTTTGAGATTATTGACCTCAGATATCATCTGGTAGAAATTAAAATATATCAGTGATTTTTTCACGGGTTTTAACAAAAGTCGTTATAGATAAAAAAAAAAAAAGTATTGCTTTTCGGCTACTACTTTTTCGCTTTATTTCTGATAACATATTTTTCAAAACATGGCTGAATTATATTTATTTATTTATTTATTAATTTTGTAAATTCAAAATTTGATTGGTCACAAATATTATATTTCAGTTTTTAATACGTAATGACATTCTTTTATATTTATGTAAGATTATGAGGTTAGGTAAAGCAATTATATAATTATATAATTATATAATTAGGAAGGTAATTTAGTGCACGGAATGCAGAGGTTGGGTTTTTTTTTAAGCTAAGATCCAACACTTGTAAAAATTTTAAAAACATTCAACAATATTATGTTTTCCCTGACTCCACTAATTTAGATCTTCAACATCTGTGATAGATGTTTGCCATATATATCCCACACTGATAGAAAACGTTTCATAACAAAAATATCATGTTACGTTTAAAAAGACAGAATACAAAAACCAAGAACAAATTCCACAGCATATATATATATATATATATATATATATATATATATATATATATATATATATATATATATATATATATATAAATTGGGATCAAATACGGATCGGAATCCGACATAATGTTAAGATAAAGAACAACTAGGAAATGTTTATCAATCTAACATATTTCACTTTTTTTATTAAAGCTTCATCAGAGAACGAGATAAAAAAAATATATATATATATATATATATATATATATATATATATATATATATATATATATATATATTTAGTCCAAGAAACACAAGTTTTAAATTAAACTTACCTTCCGTCTAAACACACAAAGAACAGAAAATTTTTTTTAGCAGATTTATCCATGAACGGAAATTAATTGTTCAATTGATGCTGAATATTCCATATTTACTAATAAACTTTTCAAACTGAGACAGGAATGGACGGTGAAAGGCTTACTTGCCCAGCAAACAATTTGCATTAGGTCATGTGACTGGAGGAACGAAATTCAGCAATAATTGCAATGGCCGCCAATGTACGTTAGTTAAGGAAAAGTAACAGCTGGTCGAAAACTTACGGTCTTATCGAATTTTTATGTTAACAACCAAGACTTTTTAAATCGTTACCATTTTATTTTATCGTGAACTTTTCTGACCAAGCCTAGAAATTAATTTTTATAACAATAAAAGAAACATTAAGAGTTTATTTTCACATGAGAAGGGGAAAAAGAACATAATCATTTTTTTTTCAGAATTTATTACAAATTGTTTTAAACATTTTGCTTCTGCTTCTAGAAATCAGTACATATTCCACAAGACTATATTATTCAGAGATAGAAACAAATTCTTTTTCTTTTTAATTCGTGGTTAACTTAAAAGAAAATAGGATGAAAATTAATAAAAAGTAAAATCACTAAACAGCAGAAAGACAAAATTTATTAAGAGCTAAGAAAGACAATAAAATTTGTGGAGAGCCATGATCGACTACGTCATGAAGGGAGACAGCACATGGATAAAGAAATATTTCAGAATAATGTAAGCAACAAAATCGTTTTAAGGAAAATGGAAATAAAAAGGTTAATTGTGCTGAAGATCAGAAAGGAGCCGTTGAAATTTTTAGTATATATAATGAGAAAAGAAAGCTTGGAAAATTTGACACACGCAGGACATTCTGAAGGCAAGAGGAACAGAGGGAAACAGCTAATAACCTACCTAACCAGCTTGTGTACCATATATACTCGCGTACAGTGCGAGTTTTAAGATATGTTTTACGCAAAAAATAGCACTATACAGAGGTAATATTTTTGAAGAGGGTAAAATAGCGAGTGGCACTATACCGTGGTAATTTTTTGAAACGGTTAAAAATCGTGCATTTTCGGTGACTATAAACAGTCACATTTTTTTCGAGATGTTTTAAAATTCATGCAAAAACTCAGGGGTCGCGCTATACATGGAGTCGACTTATACACGAGTATATACGGTAAATGGGTTGAAGAACAGGTAAGGGGAGAAATAATAATAATAATAATAATAATAATAATAATAAAACAAATGTTGCCAAGAGCTAAAAAGAATAGAAAATTGTGGAGAGCCATGATCATCGCAGAGTGGTAGACTGGGTTTATTGGTTACCAGGAGAAAAAGA